CTCCCCAATAACATAGACCATATTTTGACCACTAGTTTGACTTAATTTTATTTCTTCCTTTAATTTTTCCTTATGACTCATCTAAGGACATCCTATTCCAGGTGCGTCTTGAAAATAATGATCCAACTGACCATCCTAAACCCCACAATGAAGAAGGGAGCAGGAGCTCAAATCTAAGGAGTTTGGGTTCAGAGAGCAAAGGACATGGTATAGATTCTGGAACAGAAGTGTTCCCAAAAAAACACTCTGCTATTTTTATTCTTATAAGGTATTTGACTGCAATGTGTAAAGTTGGCTTTAAACACGTAGACACCGGGAACCTCTGCTTGCTGCTCCTCCCTTCCAGGTGAGATTAATCTCTGGCTGACATCTCTTGAAGCAACAGATTTACTCAGCAAATTTCACAGTGCTCACAATTATACTTACTCCCACTGGATGAAAAGGAAAAGAGAAGAAAAAGAGCAACTCCTGGTCTATTCCCTTTGAGTCTCCCTGGGGGCAGGGTTCTAACTAAAGGACTCACCCTTAACACAGCAAGCACACTGGAAAACCAGTGGGAAGTCTCGTAGAGCCCACCAATGTCAATGTGCAAAGACAGTAACACAGAAGTCACAACCAACACCAACATCTCTGTAAATCTTCAGAAAATGAGTTTAGTGACATTAAATGTTTAATGAGGCTGTTTAATGACCTCGAAACAATGGCACAGTTAGTCAGCAAAGCACAAGAAAGTAAGGGAGCTGAAATGAGAAAACTACAAGTAGAAATACAGAGTATGGTAGGTGATACAAAAATTCATTAGAAACTCTCAGCAGCAGAATAGTAACAACTAAAGAAAAGATTGAGATGATTCAAGTTCAGATGAAGAAAACCTCTAGAACATAACAAAAGATGGGAAAAAAGCCTCAAAAGAAAAAAAACCTAGAAAACTAAAAAACCAGAAAACTATGGGATCAACTCAAAAGGAACAATATGAGATTCACTGGAGTCCCTGAGGACTAGAAAGAATTTGATGAAGAACCAACAGTTAAAGAAATCATAGTTAAGAATTTCTCAGAGTTGAGGAATATAGGCAACCAAATACAAGAGGCCTGAAGGGTCCCAGTGGAAATAAAGTCAAGCAGGAAAATTCCAAGACACATTTTTCTCAGAATGAAAAAAATAAAAAGCGGGAAAATTGAAAAAATGAAAAGCTCATAAGATTTACAGCAGATTGCATCTGCCTAAACAGAGTCTCAGCAGCTGAAAACCTCCACAGTCCACAATCAATGCCATGGTATGGCCTGGGGCCCCACTGTTAGGCATAGGTTGCATCCAGAAATTGATCTGTTGAAAAACTCAGGTATGCAGGTTTTGTGACTGAAATCTACAGGCTGTCATGGAGAGGGGGATAGGCTACCATCCCCCATCTCCCTGTTCTTCCAGAAGCCTAGCAGTTATGCCTATGAACTGCCTCTGGCACCAAATAAGCTCATTAATTGGCAATGATCCAGAAACACAGAAATCTCAAAAGAGATCACAAGTTGCAGAGATGCTTCTGGACTCTGGCAGGGATCTGTTGTCCAGGACACCCAAAGTCACCATGCAGTTAAAAATTTAATTCTTGCTGTATCACTCAGTCATGATATCTCAAACTCTACACCATCTATAAATCAGGAGTAGCACATCACATTGGAAGGGATGTAAAGTACAAGGCAACTAATCTCGATTAAAGAAAATATAAGCACCCAAGGCTCAACCTATAACAATGTTAGCAATCTCTTCTACAAGGACTCAATGGTTACATGGTGAGATACAACAATATTCACACACTTCCATCTAAGGAAATATTTTTGACCATTTTTAGCAAATCTTATCAAGCAACATAAATTAAATTATTCAGGGCCTGTTGTAGGGGCATGCTTGAGGAGAAGTTGGGAAAATTGGAAATAATGGTGATGGGAAGTTGTAATGATGGTGGGATTAGAGCTGGAATATTTAATGTAATAAATCATGCACAACTTTACAAATATTTTTAAAAATTAAAAAAAAGATTTACAGCAGACCTATTAATTAGATTCTATAAGCGCAAAGAGAATAGAAACTCTACAACTGAGGCTGTGCAAGCCAGAAGAGATAGGAGTGATGGCATAGTGGGTAGGGCATTTGCCTTGCATGCGGCCAACCTGGCCAAACCGGGTTTGATTCCTTTGCCCCTCTCAGAGAGCTGGAGAAGCTACCAAGAGTATCTCGCCCACATGTCAAAGCCTGGCAAGCTATCTTTGATGTATTTGATATGCCAAACACAGTAACAACAAGTCTCACAATGAAGACGTTACTGGGCCCACCTGAGCAAATCGATTAACAACAGGAGGACAGTGCTACAGTGCTACAATGAAAAATGGACACCTCGCCAAGAACATGCTATCTAGCTCGATTATCTTTCAGATTTGAGAAACAATATAGAACTTCAGGGACAGACAACAGTTTAGGGAATTCATAGTCTTAAATCAAGTTTCACAAGAAGCATTAAAGGAGCTTCTTTGAAAAACAGAACAAACTTCCCAGCATGTGGCACTATGTTTGGCACTCACTCATGGTGCACATGGTAGCCTTCCACAAGACCAAGAAAGGTATGTTTACTCTTAGCTTGCCAAGGGATTTCACACATTTTCAACAATGAATTTATGCTTCTTTTATACTGAATGTTTTGCATCTGATGAGCTTTTTTTTTTTTTTGCTTTTTGGGTCACACCTGGCAATGCTCAGGGGTTACTCCTGGCTCATGCACTCAGGAATTACTCTTGGCAGTGCTCGGGGGACCATATGGGATGCTGGGAATCGAACCTGGGTAGGCCATGTTTGGCTGCATGCAAGGCAAATGCCCTACCCGCTGTACTATCGCTCCAGCCCCCTGATGAGCTCTTTTTATAAGCACAGGACTTTTTATTTCAATCTTTTACTTATTAATGCAGTCATTCAAGCACTATCTATAAAGTAACAGTTTCTAATATAAAGCCAATGCTCACTTTATTAGACTAAAACACATTTAGTACTTTTATAGGACTATTCTGATTGTTCTTCCTCTAAATTTACTTAGTTCTCTTCATTCTTACTAAAATTTACATTTATATAATTTACCTATTTCATGTAAACTCTAAAATGTGTCAGCACAGAATTATCCATAAAATTATTTAAATGCATATAGTTCTAAAACAGATTTGTCAGCACAGAATTATCTATAAAATTATTTAAATGTATATAGCTCTAAAACAGATTTGTTTTTAAAAGAAATTACTGTATCAACCTATTATTGATGAACAATGTTGTGTAATTTCAGGAAATTAGCACTATTCATCTTTATGTGTGTAGGTGTTACCACACACAAAAATAGAGATTTCTTCCAAATGTGAGATTAAAAAGAAACAGAGAATAACAAATGGTCAAACTGAAGATTTTATCTATAGAACTAAGGGGGTGTGTGTCGAGAAGGGTCCCTGGGACACTGGTGGAGGGAAGCAGGCTCTCTGACACTAGGTCCTTTTACTTTATGTCTTTACTTCATGGGGAAATACAGCTTTGAAAAAAATATGCCCTCAGTTTTACATGCTATACTCAGAGAACCAACTCTGTTGATGGATATAGTGTTGGAAGGATGTATGCAAATACAGTGTGATTAACAGTATTGTAAACCCCAGTCCCGCAATAAATATGATCTTTAAAAAACTGTAGATACAGGTGGAAGAAGTGTCAATGTGCAGTTCCTGCCTCAATTTAGAAATATGGTTAATGAGGAATGGTTGGGAGGGGCCCTGAGATAATGGGTAGAGGGAAGGGAACACTCTGGTGAAGGGTGTGGTGGTGGAATATTGTATGCACAAAACCTTGTCAGTAACAGTATTATAAATCAAGGTGATTCAATTTTTTTTTAAAAAAAGAAATGTTAAAGGAGAGAGAGAACAAAAGGGAATGCCCTGCCACAGAGGCAGGGTGGGATGGGGGGGAATGAGGGGTGGGGGGATACTGAGATCCATGGTGGTGGGAAATGAGCACTGGTGGAGGGATGGGTATTTGATCATTGTATAATTGAAACCCAAGCACAAAAATTTGTAAGTCTACAACTGTACCTCATGTTGTCTCACTAATAAAAATTTTTTAAAAAAAGGAAATGTGGTTAAGAACAGAGCAAAGATTGTGGGAACAGAGAATAGTGAATGGGTGAAAACAGTAGGAAAAAGGTAGATCTGTCAAGATATCTTATCTATTCTCTACTTGCAGACAATAATTGAAAATGGTTAGGTGCAGGGGATGTACATTTGGAAGATTAGGGGGTTAAGTTACAGTTCTTCTATAGTATCTTACTTTGGAAAATTGTCTCTTCTCTCTAAACCTCATCATTCTTATGTAAGATAGGACGACAGCAGCTCTCATCATAGCAAGCTGTTGTCACAAAACAAATGAGATAATGTATTCAGAGAATTGATAACAGTACCTAGAAGACAACCCTCAATGTGAGAATTATGGAGATGAATAAGTCAGAGGAGAAGTTGGAATAATGCCATAGGAAGCACAAAAAAAACAGTTGGCATGACAAGGAGGGTGGTGTCCAAGAGGTAAAAAGTCTGTTTTACTGTGTTTTCCTTTTGTGATATCATAATCTCTATGCTGTACAGCTGATGTCAATAACACTAGGTCCTTTTACTTCATGTCTTTACACATGGGGAAATACTGCTTTGAAAAAATTAGGCTCTCTGTTTTACATGTTATATTCACAGAACCACATCCCAGGAACTTGTGTGTGTGTATGTGTCTAAGGACAAAAGATAAATAATAATACTAGGCTATGTAATATTCAAAATTATGACTAACTTGCTCTTCTCTTTCCAAATAAAGTCCTATTATCAATAATATAAAGTAGTCAATAGTGAACTGTGGCCAATTGAAGATAAATGTAAAATCGGGACTAGCCCTCAAAGCAAAGTTAGGCAGGACAATCTCCATGAAGAGTAGTTCTCACTTACTTGGTTGATAAGGACAGTAGAAGATCACTGGAGAAAGGTACTCTGTGGGACTTGCAGAGTCTTCTTATATCGTTGGTGGGTAGTGTATTTTTTCTGCATTAAACCAAACAAATACAGTTTTAGATACTTTTTGTCACTCAAATAATAATTACATGCCATGGGAAAGAAAATACAAATGTTTCCTTAAAATGTACACATGGAAATAAGTATGAAAACTGGTACTGGAATTTGCAGTAAGAAAAAGCAGACATATTGCATTTCATCAACTTTTTCCATTTTAGAAATCACCAGATTCTGCCCTTACAAAGGCCTTTCCATCAAAATTCAGATGTAGCCACAGTGTTGCTTTAAGTAATCAATCTGCATTCTTGACCACTAGTCAAAAATGGTTATGATATCTGAAAACAGCTCCTAATTTAACAGGCATCTAGAGCCTCCAACACAAGTATTCTATGACTTGAGGATATTTTTTTCTAGCCTTTTTCTTGGCCCCAAACCTGGAAGCCCAAGTTGGGTCCTTAAGGTTCACCTCAATTTTGTCAAATGGCTTCTCCAGAGCAGACCACTGGGCATTTTCTAAAGCCCACTGGGGACACAGAAAGTCTTATCAAGGCCTACTTCAGTCAATATTCTCCTGGCTATCAGGAAAAATGAGAACTGAAAAGAAAGAAAATGGCCCCTTTCTTTGCAGCAAAGTTCTAAAATAGTGAGAAAATGTTAATGTTCAGAATTAAAGTTTGTCGTATTCGGAAAGAATTTCAGAGCTGTATAATCAGGCAACCTCATTATTCCCAAGACGTATTACTTTAGCGAAGAAGAGGCAGCCTTATCACTTTGGGGAAAGGTTATAACCAGAGTGGAAGGCAAAACCAGGGTCATGCAAGGTTTGGGCCAAACATTCTCCAGGAAGCTGAAGGAAGCTTAAACATTCAAGAAAAATATACCATCTTCATAAAAACTCAGTGAGAATATAGTATGGATCTGTGAAATAATCATTTTCATTAAGATAAACTTGGGAACTTCCACAATATTTAGGCTATATAGAAGAAACTTGGGTGCAGGCTTGTGGTTACAAATGAGGGAAAGGGTCACAGGGAAGAGAATGGCAGTGGTGCATAATAAAAAAATTAGATGCTAGAGTTAGACAAAGATTTTCTGACTCCAAATGGTTATTGTCCCCAGTATATCAGGTCTGTGGTTAAGATGAATAACAAAATATACTAAGATGGGGCTCTAGATGTTTATTAAAAAAGACTTAAGCTCAATACAAATGTGACATATTAGAAGGAAGTTTGTTGACCTTCCTTCCTTCCTTCCTTCCTTCCTTCCTTCCTTCCTTCCTTCCTTCCTTCCTCCTCCCTCCCTCCTTCCCTCCTTCCCTCTCTTCCTTCCTTCCGTTTTTGTTTTTTTGGGCCATACTTAGAGGTGTTCAGGGCTTACTACTCCTGGCTCTGTGGTGAGGGATGACTTTTGTCATCCAGGGTGCTCGGAGGTCGTAAGTGTTGCTAGAGATTGAATCCAGGTCATCCGCATGCAAGGCAAATGCTTTATAACTGTACTACCTCTCTGGCCCAGAGCTTCATTATTTTCAAGGATAAATATATATTTTAAATTCTATAGAAAGTTTCCTTGCAAACATTTTGTTTTGTTTTTGATAAAAGTTACATTTATAAATATTGGTTATCACTAAAATAATTTGTAAGAGGATGACTTCTCATAATTAAACCTTTTACTATTAAAATTTACTATATGTCTATTTAAAGCTTTGGGAAACCAATGAAAGAAAATGCCAAAAATGCATCCTATTCTTTTGAAGATAAAGGGTCTCTTCCCTATTGCACCAACAAATAAAAATCATCACATTATGAGATAGTTACAGCCAGGCACTCTCCTGAAAGGATTTAAGGCTTTTTCGCTAAATTGTGAAACATGTTATCATTTCTCTTTTAGCCCATTTTGATAAAATACAAATAAATTCCTTTATTACTTAGGTTCACAGAAACATAAGTGATGTATTAAGAGTTAATAAAACAAAGGCTTACTTTGCTCTATCTTCATATATACATTCTGCAATGAGTTTGTCAAAAGCATCAAAATTGTATTTCTTAAGCTGTTCATGGGCCTCTGCAAGCAGCATTTCTCTTTCTGGACAAATTTCTTCGGGCACCCGGAAGTGACGTGCAATAGTTATAACTTCTTGGTCTGTGATGTTCCCAGCAACTATATCTTTTATTGTATTGCTACAAAAATAATAGAAAATTGTTCCTAAATTCCAGGAATATTTTAACCCTATATTAAAAATATCCAAATCTCATTTTATAAAGTTTCTACCTGGTATAAAAAATAAAGGCCGCCTTTTAACTTCTCCACTTTTCAGTAGCAGACAGACACAAAGGGTAGAATAGAAAACCAAAGAACTATGGCTTATAAATGAAAAGCCACTTTTTTTGGTTTGTCTTGTGTCTTGAGACCACACTACCCAGTACTGCTTAAGGCTTACTTCTGGTTCTGCATTCAGAAATCATTCCTGGCAGTGCTCAGTAGATCATACAGGTTGTCTGGGATCAAATTTGGGTTGGCTATATGCAAGGCAAATGTCCTACCTGCTTTCTCTGACCTTCAAAATTGCTTTTTTTAAATCAGAGTCAACCAAATCCATAAGGTACATGGAGAAAATGTAGGTGAAATCTTCCACGATATTGAAGTTAAAGGCATCTTCAAAGATGAAATGCCACTGACCAAGTAAGTGAAAGCAAAGATAAACGAACAGGACTACATTAAACTAAGAAGCTTCTGCCCCTCCAAAGAAACAGTAATGCACCTTTACCTACTTTTAACACTCAGTTCCTCTCCAACGTGTTCATGTTGGACAGGAACTGAGTGTTAAAAGTAGATAAAGATATATACCTGATAACGTTTCAGTAACTGTATTGCAAACCACAATGCCCAAAAGGAAGAGGAGATAGAGCTAGAGGGAGAAAGAAAGAGATAAAAAGAGAGAGAGAAAAGCATCTGCCATAGAAGCAGGCTAGGAGGTGAGGGGTAGAGGAGATAGGAGGGAAACTGGGGACACTATTGCTGGGAAATGCACACTGGTAGAAGGATGGGTGTTGGAACATTATATAACTGAAACCTAACCATGAAAAGCTTTGTATCTCACAATGAATCAATGAAAAAAAATAAAAAGAAAGAAAAAAAAAGTGATCAAGATATATAGTCAGCCTACAGAATGGTAAAACTTATTCACCCAATACCCTTCTGATAAGGGGTTAGTATCAAAGATATACAATGCACTGGTTGAACTTTACAAGAAAAAATATATCCAACACCATAAAAAAATGGGAAGAAATGAACAGAAACTTTCTAAAATATGAAATTTGAACAGCCAAAAGGCACATGAAAAAAAATGCTCTCATCACTAATCATAAGGGAGAGGCAAATCAAAACAACGAGATATCATCTCACACCACAGAGACTGGCACACATCCAAAAGAACAAGAGCAACCACTGCTGGTGCAGATGTGGGAAGAAAGAGACTCTCCTTCATTGTTAGTGGGAATGCCGACTGGTCCAGCCTTTTTGGAAAACAATATGGACATTCCTCATAAAACTAGAAATTAAGGTCCCATTTGATCCAGCAATACCACTTTGGGGAATGTACTCTGGGTGCCCAAAACCACAGCAGAAACACCATCTGCATTTCTATGTTCATTGTAGCACTATTCACAATAGTGTGAATCTGGAAACAACCTGAGTGCCTGAGAACAGACAAATGGATAAAGAAACTATGGAATATTTACACAATGGAATACTACTCAGCTGTTAGGAAAAATGAAGTCATGAAATTTGCCTACAAATGGATGGACATGGAGAGTATCATGCTGATTGAAATGAGTCAGAAGGACAGGGACAGATAAAGAATGACTGCATTCATTATTGATATATAAAAATGTATAGTAGAAGACTTATACCCAAGGTCAGAGAAAACAGGGGCCAGGAACACTGGTCAGTGGTTGGAATCTACCACAAGTGTGTATGGGGTGGAGGGTAGGTAAGATAGAGAAGGGACCAGTATGACACTGATGGTTGGAAATGATCACACTGGACAAGAACTGGGTGCTAAAGGTAGGTAAAGGGCTATACACAATAACCTTTCAGTATCTGCATTGCAAACCATAATGTCCAAATTGGGGGTTGGGGGAGAGGAAAGGAGGGAAAGGGAAAGGGGGAGGGAGAGGGAGAGAAAGAGAGAAAGAGAGGGAGAGAGAGAGAAAGTGAGAAAGTGCGAAAGTGCCTGACATAGAGGCAGGCTAGCGGGTGGGGTGGGGGTGATGGCAGGGGAACTGGGGACACTGGTGCTGGGAAATGTACACTGGTGAAGGGATGGGTGTTGGAACACTGTATGGCTGAAACCTAATCATGAACAGCTTTGTAATGGTCTATCTCACAGTGATTCAATAAAAAATATCTTAAAAAAAACAGAGTTGGGGCTAAAGCGATATAGCACAGAGGGTAGGGTGTTTGCCTTGCACGTGGCTGACCCAGATTCAATTCCCAGCACCCCATATGGTCCCCTGAGCACTGCCAGGAGTAATTCCTGAGTGCAGAGCCAGGAGTAACCACTGTGCATGGCCAGGTGTGACCCAAAAGGCAAAAAAAACCCCCCAGAGTCAAACTTCTATCATTTTAGGTAATACTGTTTGAATAGCGTTTAAGTTCATAATATTGATATACAATATCACTATACACCACTATCAGAAAAATGAACAATGCACAGAACTCTACACCATGGTCCTTGCCTTGGGTCTATATGAAGATCTTCAGTGGGTTAAAAAAAGAACCTGACATTAAATACATGATTCCATTCAATGTTTAATAATCTTCCTTTATACAAAGTTGTAACAAAGTTATGGCTCTGGTTTTCCAGGGCATAAAATTTATAAATCAGTAAATTATAGCAATATTTTGGAGATGGGGAAGAAAGCAATTAGTAAAAACTGATACACTCTGCCAATGAGGAAAACATGAGAGATTAAATTAAAAGCTGTAAGCCAGAGAGTTCTCAGTGGGATAGAACACATGCTTTGCACACAAGAGGCCTTGGTTTGATTCACTGGCTTAATAAGGATTTTATTTCTGAATTCTTATATACATTGTCATATATATCTTTAATTTTTATATCACTTGATCACATGACTTCCCATTAATCATCGATTTGCTCAAGCGGGCGCCAGTAATGTCTCCATTTGTCGCTGTTGCGTGCTAGTGTAGCCCAATAGCGTCTGTTCGTTCTAGGAACATGAAGAGCCTCAAACTGATCGTTCAGGGTCTTGATGAAGAAGTCTGACCATCTCATAGGTGGGCGGCCATGGGGTCTTTTGATGTCCCGTGGAATCCAGTTGGTAATAGCTCTAGTCCAGCAGTCATCTCCAAATATCATTACGTGTCCAGCCCATCTGATTTTCAACGCCTTGGCAAATGAGATAGCACCCCTGATTCTTGAGTGTTGATGGATGTCAGAACTCTGGATTCTTTCTCTCATTTGAGTGAAACGTGATACTCCAAGCATAGCTCTTTCAATTCCTCTTTTAGAGACCTGAATAGCGTTCTCATCCTGTTTCTGTAGGGCCCAGGTCTCTGAGGCGTATGTTAATGCAGGAAGAACAGTGGAATCAAAGAGATGTGGCCGGATCCAGAAGTTATTCATCCTCTTAGCTGTTTCTTCAGCGCTCTTGAAGGTGTTCCAAGCTGCTCTCTTCTTCCTGCGCAACTCAGGTGCGAGGTCATTCATCATGTTGACTTCTCAACCTAGGTACACATAACTGTTGCATTCGGAGATGTTTGTCCCATTGAGAGTGAATGGAACGTCGGGAACGAGACCGTTTCTCATAAACATTGTTCTCATGAGATTCAGCTGTAGTCCGACCTTTCCACACTCAGGTCAAAGTCGGTCAGCATTTGTCCTGCTTGGCAATCTTTGGTGTTATTAGAACAATGTCATCAGCAAAGTGGAAGTGGTGAAGTTGCCGACCGTCTATCTTCACTCCCATTCCTTCCCATTCTAGTCGTTGCATGATGTTCTTGAGGGTGGCACTGAAGAGTTTTGGTGAAATGGTATCACCCTGCTGAACCCCTCTCTTGACATGGATGATCACTTCTTTGCAGAATGGTGAGATCCTGGTAGTGAATCCATAATAGAGCTCACAGAGGATCCTGATGTATTGAGTTTTAATGCCCTGATTGGCTAGAACTTCAATGACTGCTTCTGTCTCAACAGAATCAAAGGCCTTCTGTAAATCAATGAATGTTAGACAGAGTGGCATCTTGAACTCCCGAGAAACCTCAATGTGCTTGGTTATGGTGTGGATATGGTCAATCGTGCTGAATCCTCTTCAAAAACAGGCTCACTCACATGTTTGTCCTTCATCTAGTGTTCTGCCAATCCTATTCAAGATGACTCAAGTGAACAGCTTGTAGATGACAGACAACAGGCAGATTGGGCGATAGCTGCCAATGTTGTGGATCTCTCCCTTCTTGTACAGTAGTACAGTCCTGCTGGTTTTCCATGGGGATGGAACCTTGCATTCAGACAGGTAGCTTGTGAAGAGCCGAGCCAGTGTATTGATGAGTACTGACGGCAGGTTCTTTAGGTGTTTGGGTCTGACCTTGTCTGGGCTGGGTGCTGTTCGCTTCTTTATGTATGAAATGGCATGTCGGATTTCTGAAGGGAGGATGTTGAGAACAACATATCCATCCTGCGGAATTTGGTATGTGGGCAGGTGGACGTGGCTATCAAAGAGATCTGAGTAGAAGTCGTGGATAATCTTCTCTATTGCCTTTCTGGAAGATGTGATAGATCCATCAGGACGTCGGAAGGCAGTCATCTTGGTTTTGTAGTTGGCGAAGGACAGGTGGGCATTACGAATGCTTTTCTTGGCTTCTGCCACATCTACCAGCACTTCTGCTCTTCTCTCTTTGAGGTCTTCCTCAAAGTAAGGAGAGTAAGGATAGGCTGATAAAATATCAAGGCCAAACTAGGCTGCCTAAATGAAGAAATACAAAAATGATTGTACTTTCAATGCACGTACACTGGCATCAGATGCCTCCATCGAGGACCTGATGATACAAGTGCGAAAGATCAAGTACGATATCATTGATCTGACCGAGACTAGAAGGTATCAATCACTTCATGCCATTTTTGACACTGGAGAAGAACTGTTCCTCAGATCACGTGATAAAA